GCCTTCTGGATCAAAAGCTCTCAGAAAAGTCCTCATTCTGATTTTCCAAAACAGGTAGTTACTCCCATCAAAGTAGGAGCATGATGCAGGTTCTGACCACGAGCTAACTCCGCTGGCTTTGGAAGAGTTTGAGTGAAAGTGGACCAAAATGCCATAAAAGCACTATCCCCGTCTTCTCCAGATTCAGGTTCTTCGGGTTCTTGCTCCGACCCGCTTTCATCATCCCAAGTTACAGTGTAGACTTTCTTTCGATTCTTTTTCGAAGGGCATTCAAGGGCAATGTGGCCAAACCCTTGACATTCATAGCACTTGACCCCTTGCCCTTTTACAATCTTCTTTTCAGTTTTTGGAGCAAGTTTTGGTGGAAAAGTTTTGGGTTTTTCATTACTCTTGTCTTTAGAAATAGGGTCTCTGAAATTAGGCTTCTTTTTCTTCAAATTTTTTTTAAATTGTTTAGTAAACATAGCCGTCATTTCAGACTCTAAATCAAATTCAACCTCCGGAGTTTTTGCAGACTCATGAGCACTAGTGAAAGCCATACTTTCTTTTTTGTTTTTCTTTGAAATCTGGTGGGCTTCATAAGTCTGCAAGTTTCCAACCAATTGATCAAGCTTGAGGGTATCAACATCCTGAGCCTCCTCAATGGCTGTCACTTTTGGTTGGAACCTCTCGGGTAAAGACCTCAAATTTTTTCCAACAATTTTAGCTTCCGGGATTTTTTCCTCGAGTGTGAAACGGAATTCACGATATCACTAAGTTTTGCATAGAAATCATCAAACGTCTCCTCATCGCGCATAAAAAGGGTTTCAAAGGAGGATGTGAGACGTTGAAGTTTTGACCTTTTGACAGAAGTAGTACCTTCGTGAATCGTTTCTAGAATGTCCCAAGCCTCTTTTGCTACCTTACACGTGCAGATACGACGAAATTCTTCAGGTGTGACGGAGCAAAACAGGGAATTGAGAGCCTTACTGTTCCAACTCGAGTTTTGGTAATCAGTCGTGTCCCATTTATCAAGGGGTTTAGGAATATTAACACCATCAACGATGACAGTAGGTTCACTCCACCCATAGATTACGCTGTGCCAAACTTTCTCATCGATGGATTTTAAAAATGCTCTCATACGAGCTTTCCAATACGAATAGTTTGTACCATCGAGTAAAGGCGGTCTATGGGTCGAGTTACCTTCACAAATAGAATCCATATCACTAGTCACACAAAATCACACTCCTATATTTTTTTTTTTAAAAAAAAGAGTGACCCGCTCTGATACTAATTGAAAATCCTAAGTGATTCATGATTAGATCAAGATTTAAA